TGGTCTGTCCTAGGCACAGCAGAACTGCATAAAAGAAACCAATCTCCTGGTTTATACTTTTCTTACTTGCAGAACATATAAGTTGCATCTGAACAAACTGCCTTGCAAAAATATGTGCAGGGTTTTTTACTGTTTTATTGGTAAAGATTTCCCTATTCAATTATATTGGCAAATACATGAATATACTACATTGAAGCTGTACTATAGCTTTCTGCTGCAGGGTAGTTGAACAATTTAACAAGACCCCACAGAGTTAGAGAGTGYGTGTCTTCTTCAGGATGTTGTAATTTGATTACTTTAAGCAAGCATGTCACCACCATCTCATCAATTTAAGATTTCTGTCTTTCAGCTATGAAAGTTTCAGCAGAGAACTATTTAAAAGCAAATTGACAAGACTATCTTAAGAGTAGCATTTTGACTTCTGAAAAATGTTAACTTAGTTCAGAAAATCTAGGAAGCTATATATTAATACAATTTTTAACCTTATCAGCTCAAGGAAATGTTGGGAAATCAAATTTGTATGTTGATATACACTCTCTTATTCTAGTAGATATGATTAGTATTTTTAGATTCAAAATTTACAGTAATTTTTATATTCTGTGTTCGATATTCTGTTAACAGTAGCTTTYCTTTTTTCACTCAGAAAAAATGATATGCATGTAAAATTGAAATGTGGATTTTAATCAATGTTATGGTATGGCATTACAGGAAATCAATTAGTTGAATATTTGTCCCTCCTTTGTCAGAAGTTACTTCAGAGGCAAAACTGCCTTATCCAAGGATGCAAGGTGCTCTTGGCCATGTTCCATAGCAGCCTTTTGAAATTTAAGAGGTTCTTGTTTTCAGTCAGAAGTTCCTAGGAATGAGTGTGCATACMTGCTGATGTGACTGCAGAGTCTAAGGAGATAGATGACTGAAGCTGAATGATTTCAATGAAGTTTGTTTTGCTGTGTTTGCTTTGAGGGCAGTCAGATGTGTCGCTCAGTCAATGGGGACCGGGTGGATGAGGATCAGCTCTCCCCAGTGCTGAGTGTTCCAGTGAGGATGTTCCTGTGGAGTGTCACAGTCCTRGACACGGCAGAGCTGTGGCTGTAGCACAGTAATTGCTGCACAGCCAGGTTTTGGGCACTGCAGAGCTGGATGAATGAATGAATTCTAGTCCCTGTGCAGCTTTTCTGGCAATTTTCTGCAGAAAACTCTTGAAGATACACTTCTAGGGCTCTTCAGGACTCCTGTAAAAAACTTTGGTCTCCAGGATTTGGCCTCCTGCTGAATCTTCTAGAYCAATTCTAGTGTATGGTAAACATGATCTGGTATACCAGTGTAAAATGCCAGTGCAGTTTTGTTCCTAACAGGCAGAGCTGGGCTTGGTAAGATAGTTATGGGCATTGTTTAAACACCACGCAGAGCTGCTGCTCACTGCAGCCATGTAGCTACGTGTAAGGAGAGTCTGTGGCTTTCTCATTGGCAGCCTAGTGCTGATGGTTAAAAAAAATCTTAATTTCCTGAATGAAAACTGAGTTCAGATGAGCTTTGAAACAAAGGAATGCCATACATGTCAAGTATTGTTGGCCCGATTTCACTTGCTTTTTGAAAATGGAATCACAGTCCTGATAATAGATAATGAAAGATGCTTCTTCTATCTCTAATGTAATCCTTCAAAGGAGTTCTCCATCTGGATTTAATAATGAGAGTCATCTTTGGAAAGCTGATTCATTTAACATGCAGGGGGGGGCAAAGATGTCTTCAGTGCAGCCACATATAATTAAAATAAGGAAACACCAGCAGCAAAACTCTCCTGATCTGACTCATGTTGGGAAGGTCCTCAGCTTTTAAGCAAATACTGATTATCTCTGATAATAGCCTCTCACTGACTTTTGAATAAAACTCTGCACCACCCTACCCTTGTCTCTTACTTAGCTGTCAGTAATTGCAATAATTTTTGACTTTTCAATCTGAAGAATTTAACCCAAAATTCCTATTTAACTTTGTAATAGAGGCAGAGGTACATGTTGAATGAAGTAAATAATTTAGCTAAATATAATTTTTCTGGTCTGTTTTTCAAATTCAATTTTGCAGAACATTGACAAGGTGGTGTTTGTTGGCAACTTTCTCAGAATTAATATGATTTCTATGAAGGTGTTAGCATATGCTATGGATTATTGGTCCAAGGGACAGCTAAAGGCTCTGTTTTTGGAACATGAGGTAAGGAAATATATGTTGAACTTACTCCTATTTGAAAGTACGAAACTCTTGTAGTTCTTTATTTGGTGAACTTCAAAAGGGAGATATGCCATTGCTTTGATATTGAATGCACAGGCTAAGTTCTGTATAAATGCTCTTTAGTTTACAAATTCATTTGAAAATACTGCTTGTTAACTCCTTGGTTTGATCACTAATCTTGTGGTATGTGTGGTTAAACATTGCCCGTTTCTTATTTTCGCTTTCTGACCCTGATATCAACAATGTTTTTTTTGTGTGGTCTGGTATATGAAAACCTCAAGTATAATTGGTTTTTGTAAGCTTCATTTTGAGGTGTATGCCAGATGGACAGGCTCATAATAAAAACTGCCCTGCCAGAGTATGGTACAATTATTATGGTTCTGTAAAGGTTTTTTTTTACAATTTTGGAGAACTATGTATGACTTTTTCAGTATCAGGCCCTGTTTTCTACCTGAAGATGATCTTATTAAATCATAATTCAGATAGAGCAAATATTTGGCAGGACTRATCTTCTTTTAGTTGCCTTAACAGAACTGAAAACTTTGTGTTCATACTTCTGTTTTATTTTGGAATTTGATTAGTTTTGGTTTGCTTTTGCCTTTTTTCAAAGGGTTATTTTGGAGCTGTTGGGGCTCTCCTAGAAATGCTTAAAATGACAGATGATCAGTGATGAAGCTGTGTGAAGAGATTCCTACTGCAGATGCTGCTGAATAAGAGTGAAAGCCACTACAAGGATGGAAATGAAGCCATTATGGTAGTTCTACCTGCTGGATTTGTAAATAATTTAAAATCCTTTTAGCTGATCTTTAATTTCTGGGTTTTGACCTTATACTTCAGAATTCATACTGGGAATTACAAGATTTTTTTTCTCTACACTGTATTTTTTAGGGGAAAAATGTGCAAAGTGGCCAAACATACAGATTTTATGGATTTATTTTAAAAAATGGATACTGTTTAATGTAGGACTGGTGACATGAGGCATCTGCTTTTCTTCTGGGGTTTACTGATTAGTGTGGTAATTTTAACTTCATTTAGTAATCACTCTAGGAGATTTTTTATCTTATTTTCATGACGTTTCATGATTTGTTCTTGGTTTCAAATGAAACTACAAAGCTGATGCATTTTACTGTGAAAACTAGTCATTGATTTTCTTGCCTTTCCTTATTAGATGAGACACTTTTATTTAACATACCACTGCCCCCCCMAAAAAAATAAATTTGCAAACATTCTGTGGCTGAGTGAGTTTCTTCGAAGGATGTGAGGAAGCTTGGCAATAGCAGGGGGTTTAAGACTAATTTTTCAGTAGTCATGAATTGCAACAGGAAGAGACTGCCAACTGGTTTTGCAGGACTGATTCTTCTCTAATAAAAATTTTAAACAAGATATGAACTAAAACTTTAATTATTCAATTAACACTAAAATGAAAATATGTGTTGAAAACCTCTGATCTACATGAGGAGTTCTGTAGCAGAAATGCTATTTATATGGTAYACACTTGGCATTAGATGGCAAAGGCAGATTGTTTTCACTTACTTTGCTGTAGTCTGCAAGTTTTAACTTAATGGAAAAGAACTGATAACAGCATTATTAAAAGCCCAATTACTAAAATCAGAAAAATAACAATTAAAGCATTTTCTGCTTTTAMACTAGTGTTTACTTTCCCTCCAGGACACTTAAATTTGAATGTTTATTCCAAGACAGTATTTTCTACTTTTCTGACCTGTGGACCTCTCTAGATTTTTTTTCCAATATGAATTGAGATCCTTTTGAAATCTGTGTACTTAGGCTCCTGCAGGGCTYGTATGAACTTGCTGTCCTTGGACACCTTGAGGGCTTACAAATGAGAGGCTGAGAAACAGTTCATAAATTTGTTCATGTTGCAAGACTGTATTTGATGTCACATAATGTAAATGACTTATCAGAGGGACAGTATAAAATTCAGTGTATTTTTGGAAAGGGGTTTATTTCACCTTTTAAAGTCATTAACTTCCATATCTCCCAAATGTTAAGAAATGGTAATATTAACTGAAGTGTTAATTTGTCTGATGGAAATAAAGACCACTACTGTTTTGACAGTTTTMATGTATCTGTGGAATTCATTTCTTGAAAGTAATGATGTGACATACATARCACATCTTTTTGTGATATACATGGCTACTTATTTCCATGATAATAAGTTTGGTTCTTGACATGYTTTTCTTCTTCATTAAAAAGCTTTGGTGTTTTGAAGCCTTTTTCTTGCTCAAAGTTGACTTTGAAGAACTGTAAACCAAAAGATGACATGATGAGATGATTTATTATTAGTTGAAGTTATATTTTCTGTAATATCGAACTTGAGCTAAGTACAGATGGTTCTGCTCAGTGCCTCTATTTTTTTTAATAAAGAAAAGAAAACTTTGATTAAGGTTATTGGCTAACTTTTACCTGCGCATAAAGATTGATTTGTACATTATTTCGGTTTTAAGGAAGACTTCATAATCTTAAGAGGTAACTGCACTTCTTGTGATGATCAGTAGAGGGAAGCACGACATCGACCGTGTAATTGCTTGGTTTRTTACAGAGAAAGATCCCGTCTTTTCCTCCATTGTCTGTTTTTGAAGGAAACTTTATATGGGAATGTCTGTTGCCTAGGTGTTCTTGCATTCTTTGCATTTAGACACGTGTGAGGGAAGACTATAGTGTTGAGTAAACAAATATGAAATAGCAGTTCTTTTAAGATTAAAATCCTCTACTGTTAAAAAAAAAAGACCCAACAAAATCCCCCCCACCCCAAAAAAAGAAAARGCCCAAAAAAAAMCAAACAAAAACTTCRCCAAAAACAAACAAAAGAATCCTAGCAAGCAATGCAGAGATATATATAAGGACTTTGAAGATGCACAAATTGAGGCTKTGTGGTTAAAGAAGAAAAGCACAATCCTGGTAGCCCTGAAGTTAGCTGTGAGATTCTAGGGATTGCCAGGTAAGTTGATAAGAACAGCAGTTCTAACAGAAGCACAAAAGAAAACTTCAACTTAAAAATGCTGGTTTGTTATTTAAAATGCTTAATCGGTGAATTGCTGTGGTTAAAAGAATGATTAGAAAGTACTCTGAGTTGTATACTACATAAATGAGAGATTGGGAAAAGTTAGCAGACTAAATTAATAGGGTAGAGAGTTTTGGAAAGTTACAAAGTAGGAGAAACTACAGGAATATGACATTGTAAGTTCAATTCTTCCTTTCCTGAAGGAGAAAAGCTTACTGCAAAACTATTTCTTTGTTTCCTTGAAATCTAGAGTTGACTACTTTTTTTCTGTCCCCTCCAGTACCATCATATGAATTTGCTAGTTCTATAACTTGCTTCTTTATTTTCAGACTTTGCCTGCCTCCACTAAGCCCAGCTCTTGTGTTCCTCCTCCATGTTCCATAATTAAGGTAATGGATGARTGACAGTGTGATTGATTTCTAGCACTGTTACAGTATTTTTGCCATAAGGGAGCACTTTGGAGCATTTCTAAGGGTGTTGCTCTTGTMTTGAATTTTTCTGATTGTATTTGGTGTCCAGTTGCTGCCTACAGTTGAAAGGGGTTCTCCACAGTGCCCTMCTTCACCATCCAGAGGTACCTAAAGAGTCTGAGAGTATTATTGATAACTAGAAATACCCAGATTCTTGGAAAGTGTGAGGTTAAAGAAGCAGACTTTCCTAAGGGAGATGAGTGAGATTCAGTATGCATTGAAAATACTTGTTTTGGTATAAACTAAAGAGATCTTCTAACAGGTCAAGCTTTGTTAATCTAGTTTCTGTTTCTGAAACSTGGTAAGGGAATTACTTAGGTAAGTTGAAGCAGAACGAGTCGGACTCATGGCTCTCAATTGTCATGGCTTGTGCCAAGATCTCTTCATTTGGACTTGACACTTGTTCTTGAATCACATGTTGCTCGGTTCGTTCTCCCCACCACCACCAAGAAATCCCGATTTTTAATGCTTTTGACAGAAAGTCTAATTGGGGTCCCTAGGAAGGAGACTCTGTATTTTAAAGCTTTTTGGACTGAAGCATTGTGAGAATCTCTAGTGCTGGATGAAGAGTTGAGAGGATAACTAAGAGTTTTTATTTAATCAGATTTGATAGAGAAGGCTAGCAAAGGGTACACGGGGGGGCAGTACAAGAATCTGACATTTAGGACAAATGGGGTGCTTGCAGTTCATTCCAACCTCAGCAAAGCTGTCCTGGTGTTTCACTGTTATCAGCACTTCTGTTCCCATTAGACTGTCACAAGATACTTGCAAGTGATTTTTGGCAGGACACAGCAGAACTTTAGAGATGGGAGAGCCATATGGGGTTGAACTGATGACAAAATAAACATACATGATTGTTTCCAGTCGGATGAGGAGTTCTACTAGGTTCTGGTTTTAAAGTGCAAGGTGTCTTTGAATTTGGGATTAAATAAAATACAGGCTATGCAAAACCCCAGTCTGCTTTGTGTCTTGCTACCTCTTGGTACTGGGAATGAGGGAGGGTAAACAACATGAAAAGGCATCATGTTTTATAAAACAATGTCATTSCCTGTTCTTAAGTGGTTTTGCTTGTTTTGTTGTGATGATCACTTCCACCTTCAGAAGTGTCTTTACAAGCTGACAACTTTGTAGTTTCCCAGGTTTTTGGGTGGGTGATCCATTCATCTCTTCAAATTTTAAAGTTTGAGTGAACCTGGGCATTTAATACAAAGCAGAAGTTGCCGTTTAGCAAATGCTGATGTACCAAAGCAGCCTTGGCAGTGCRTGTACAGAGCTGAGTTTACCCCCATTACCCACATTTCCATTTATGCCCATCCATGAGGATGGGTGAGGCCTCCGCTAACCACGTTAGCACTTTCTCATATAATATATTAGAATTTTTTTTCCCCAAATGGCCTGCTTTATTGGATTTGAAATCTTTTATAAGACGAACTTTTCCTTGCAAGGGAATACACATTTTCTGCTGCATTCTTGAAAGCATCAAGGAACAATGCTTAGAGCAAGACAGTCTCATCATGGGCAGACACTGGTTTGATAATGCATTTTGTCACAACAGAACATCTGTGCTTCAAGCAACAAGATGGTGAGGCCACTGGTATGCTGGGACTTGTTCAGGGGATTTGTTTTGCATTAACAGATTTGCAAATTGCACAAAAATAAAACAGCTGGTCTCAGCTTATAGGAGTTTCTAATGCAGATGCTAGGTTGGGTGGAAGTGGAAATGTGTGTGTTTCAGTGAGGATGAAGAAAKGAATGTCTCRAGCCCATAGGAAAGACATKATGATCAAAATGCTCTTTSCTACCAGGTTTTATAACTCATAACTGCATCAGCTGGGAGACTGCAATCAAAATATTCTCATGTAAGGCAGTAAATCATTACCAACCTGCAGATGTTACAGTCAGCTGGGATAGCAGCGTTGTTTTCTGCTCTGCTGCATCTGCCCCTCTGTCCTCCCACTGCAGTCACCCCACTGACATCCTGCTTGTCAGCAKGAGGTGGTGGAGGCAGCACAGCAAATGTGATAGATTTCACCTGGAGATAAGWATAAAAACTTATTATTGGAATTGGTTTGAATAGTGAGAACAATCTCTTGTTTTGAAAATTGTTCTTACACTTTTTATGTTTTTTTAATTAACTATAAGATTATGCCTATTAATAAAAAACCCTAAATGAATAAATGAATTGAGCATTTTCAAAGRTGGCTGGTTAAATGAATCACAAAGTGCTGAGTGTTCTTTAAAAAAAAAATTAGTTCCTTTTAGTAGAATTGTTTTGGTTTTTTGAGCAACCTCACCCCTACTGCTATTTGATTTGAATAAGTAAACAAAAACATGCTGTTCCTATGTCCTAAGCATGGAGCATGCTGTTACCCAGCTAGCTTTCAGCATATTGCACTTGGCTACAAAAGGCTGTGCACAAAAAAATCCAGAAATATTTACAAGGTAAGCCAAAAACACTCCCAAATTTCCCAGTGTTTGTCACTTCTGTTTTAGCTTAGAAAGCAAGTTTTAGGATATAGGAGGTCTGTAGACTTCTCTGCAGCAGATTTGCCTGTGCAGTGTAGCAGCCCCCAGGCATCACTGGTTTGTCTCTTTGGAGGGGAAAAAGCAGTGCAAGGGAAGCTAAAGCTGCTTCCTGGTGATGGCTGCAGGCTGACCCATGGCACACTCAGTTGCCCTGGTACAGGTGGGGCAGAAAGCTTTCAGGAGCTGAATTTCTCTCACCGCATTAAAAAAAAAAATTTAAAAAATTTAAAAAAAAATTTAAGCAGAAAAGGCACCCAACCCTGCAGACTAATTCACCTTTTTCTCGTGGGAAGAATCATAGGTCAGCTTAGTTTTAGTCAAGARGACTTCTTTTTTCAATTTCTGATCTTTTTCTCCTCAATTTGGAGCTTGATTTTTTTAAGGTGCCATGCAACATATCTCTCTGTTGCAGCTCTCCTACCTGAAAGGGTTATAAAATTGTCTTTGTGAGGTTTTTGTGAACATCTGGTTCACAGCATTATAGGAATTTGCCTGAAGTTTCATTTAATGTACGTTACTATAGAGTTCTAAGATACCAACTCTGGAATTTTAAGTTCCTTTATCAGACTGGGAGCAGAAGGGCTGTTGCTGATACCACTCTGTGGAGTCCATTGACTACGGGCACAAGGCACCACAGAAGTTTGTCTGTTGTGTGTGTAGAGGTTAGGCAATTGAAATATCTTTATTCWTAAAAGTATGAGAACTGGCTCTTCCTTTTCTAACCTTTTTGCCGTTCAGACCCATTGGAGGACAGAAGGTGACTTAGAGTCAGTTCCCTTTCAGTCCCTGTCCATTCCACTGCCCCTGCTGTGCAATGATTGGCAACTCAGGAACAGGAATTTTGGGACATACACAAAAACAATAAACACTTCAGTAAAACACTGTTCAGGCTGGAAGTAGAAATGCGTTGGTKTAGTTTGTGTCACAAAGCTAGCAGCACGAGCCTGAGGAATGGAAGGAAGGATAACACTGCTGCCCTGTGGGGAGAGGGAACAGAGCCCTGGCAGTGCTGGGGCAGCAGCCTGACTGATTCCGAAATGCCAGGCCATGGATAATCAATGCTGTAATATTTACCACAATATTGTGCTACTCAGAGCAGGTAGTTTCTGATGGACTTTTAGCTGGCTCTGGTTTAGGCCTCTGTAMATGCTTAACTCAGAGAGAAAGAATCAAGCAAATGGGGGAAAAAGATGTTGCACCAAGCACAGGGTGGAAAAAGAATTATCTGTAAGATTCTGTGTTGCATAAGTGCCCCTGGAACTAATCTGGTACATCTCCAAATAAAACACAAATCTTTGATGCTTGTAGCTTACTCTGTGGAATGACAATAGTTTCTGTGTTTGTTAACTCTGCAAATGTTTGCTGTAGATAGTATCAATGGGAATATTTTATTTAAAGGAGTGTATTTAAGTTTAAACCAAAGAAACTTTCCCTCCAGCCTGTGAACACAACAAATACAATTATGTAGTAAAAAYTGAATCGAAAGCAGTCCTAGGTGCATTTTACAGGTGAGCTGGAGCAAAAGAATGTCCAGAGGCACAGTTTACCCTGGGCTGGGTGAGGAACTCTCYCTGAAAGACCCAGCAGTCAGCAAACACCAGCCAGAGTTTTGTCTGAGGTACAGCAAATTACACAGAGTTTCTGTGTACAGACAAATTTTGTTGAACGGTGTTTCCATAGGACGTTTGTAGCGATGAATCTCTGTTTTCCAGTAAAAARTTGTTGCACTTGCTAGCTGGAATGTGGATCTTTATAAAATACACACATATAAATGTGTCCAGAAATCTTACAGTGTGTGCTCGGACCAAGGACTTCCATGACATGCAGATAAAGAGAAGCAAGGCAGGAGATTTGAAATGTGGAAGTTTGTAATCCGTAAAAAGAAATGAATCATCCTCTTGTTCGACTAATGCAAAGTATTGATCTGCCTACACTTATTTATATCAAGAAAGAGAGGATATTTCTGCTAAAATTTCCCAATATTCTGGAAGATGATGCACTCAATAGGTAGCAAGACAAACCCTCATCTAGTTTTGAGTGTCTTTAGAAACTGCCTGGTTTTAAATKCATTTTTTGGTCTGATGCCGTATGACGGTCTTATGTTCCAGGAATTGCTAATGTCCATGAAAAAGTGAGGAGACCATGAAATAGAAAAAAAAAAGGGGGATGTAATTATTATCCCAGGTTACATATATGACTTACACAGCCATATATTTTTGGAAATTCATCATAGTCTTTTGTATGTCAATAAGATAAAAAAATCTTGTATGCCAATAAGAAACAGCTTTCCTTCTCCTCCAGAAAGGAGCCTCTGCTCCCAAGTGGTGGGTATTTYACCTTCTTGCCTTGCAGTTGGCAAAATTTGGACTCTAGCTGCTGAGAGGAGGCTGAAGGAACCATAGGGWCTTAGAGTTTCCCCAGTCTTTGGCTTAATGTTTTAGAGATTTTGGGGAAGCTGTGTTCCCTCAGTTATAGGATGTCAAATGTTAGTGACCAGGTTACTCTGAGCAYGCCATTGCAGCGTGACCCTGGACTGCTGCCTGGCTGTGACAGGGAGAAAAGAGGGCAGTGCAAGGAGGATAGTGAGGTTTTCTGTTTCCAACACATATTTGTGTATAAAGGTTCAATTTATGAACATTCATTGTGTAGGAAGGCGSTTCATCAACTGTAGCATGGCAACCATCCTCCAAACTGTAAAAAACATTTCTTTTACCTGTTGAATTCTATAGTATTATGCTTTCTGTTTATTTTTGAGGTTTGTAAAGTTTGGAAAAGTGTTATGGTATTACTCTTGTTTGCACAGGAACAAAACCAAAACAAGCCCTTCCCCAACTGTGTTTTCTTTGCCTGGTCAGGCACTCCAGGTGAGGGCAGGTGCTTCTTTCATATCTCGATTGCAGCTCCAGAGGAAGCAACATGCATAGTCCAGCAACTCTGGAAGGATTAAGGCCATCACTGGTGAGTTCTATTGTGTTGCTTGTCCAATTGGTAATTTTTCWGCTGTCAGCAGTTGAAACTTGCATGAGAAAAATTCGTGACAAAGGGAAACCAGTCACGAATGTGTAAAATGTGTTTGTAACCAAAMCCCTCATATTGCTATTACTGTTAGAGTTTTGATCCAAGGACCAAATTAAGTCATGCATTTTGTTTTGGCAATATCTAGCTTCTGATAGTTAAGCACTTAAAATGAATTTATACAAAATTAAATAGCACAAGTTTTGGTTGCCCACATGCATGGTGGGGAAAACCTAGCCCCTTTTATCTTGAACTGCTGTGGGCCACACACCACAGGAGGGAGTTGTACTTGTGTTAGAAAGATTTGCAGAGGTGGTGTGGGCTGCCCAGCGTGCAGCTTCATCCCACAGGGTGCAGATGGAGGGGAAAGAYCATTCTCTTAATTGTCTTGTGCTGCTATGTGGCATAGAGTGGCTCTAGTGTGAACTTCACCTAGAAAGAGAGTATTTTCTGATTTATAATCGACCCTGAAGCTGCCATGCTTACCCAAATCATGTGCACTGCCTTACCTTGAAGGATTTTGAATTTATCCTGAAGACCAGCGGAGCAAACACSTCCCTGCCACCCTGCAAGGGCTCTGCTTGCACACCCCTGGGAGCTTTGCACTTGATCTTTATAGCAGCACTGAAAGGCAGCAAGGTCCTGGGGAAAGAGGAGGATCAAGCAGCTCTTGTCTGGGAACCAGAAGGGTAAGAAAAGATCCCATTTTATCTTTGTTCTCATGGAAAGTGTCACAGGATGTTTAATGTCCTTTCTGAGCAAAGACCTGCTGTTTTCCAGATCTTGCCCGAAAACACATGCAGTATTCAGCAGGCCACTTAGTTTATCTTTCTTGGATAAACAGAAGGCTGCTGGAATTTGAAACGTGTTCCAAGAGTCTAGGGTCCAAAACTGCATGAGGTTTTCCCCTCGTCTGGGSTTTTGAATTGAGTTTGAAAACTTAAAGACTACCAAACAACAGCACGATTCCTAACGGGCATGAAGGGCTGGTGTATGTAACAGAGTTCTGGTGTTTTTTCCACTCTTGAGTGTTGCCTGACTTTGGAACCGCTTAAAAATATCTTACGAAATGCCTGAGAGCACTGATCCACAAATCCTGGTACTGACTTTGCCTCGACGGGAAGAAAAAAAAAAATCTCTCTTAATGCGACGAAAGCTCCCGTGGCACTGCTGAGACGCACTTTTCCGTGTTGGTGAAGGCACCACGAAGGAGAGACGCGGACTCCCTCCGATCCAGCCTGACGGAGCCGGGCGAGGGGCAGCCAGGTGGGCGAGCAGGGCGGCCGGGCTAATTCCAGCGGGGAGGGGGCTGAGCCCAACCCGAGCCGCTCCTCTCCCGTGCCGGGGCCGCGGTTACGGCCGCGCTGGCGGGGCGGGCACAGCCGGACCCACCCCGGGCCACGGAGCCACCGCCCCCGCGG